TCCGTTAAGACTGAAGGATCCTGCCATTTAAAGGATCCTCTTCTCTCCATATATTTTCTGATGTCTCCCTGGACCCCTATTTCTGTGACAGTCTAATAGATCTCAGTCTCTTCAGTTCTTTGTTTTCTTCCTTTCTTTGCTCCTTTCTCCTTTTTGGGTGACTTTAGCTTGCTACAGGTAACATCATTCAGACCTTGGCCTTTCTTGAAAGCCCTTCTTCCCATCTTGACTTTGGTGCTGCTGCGGGTCGACCGTACCAGCACCCCGTGCACCTGGTAGTTGGTGGGTGCAGTGTTTTTGGTGGGCGTTTGGTGTGGTGTGGTTTTTGGTTTTGGGGTTGGTTTTTTTGTTGGTTTTTTGGGTTTTTTTTGTGGTTGGACTCGATGATCTCAGAGGTCCCTTCCAACCACTAAGATTCTGTGATTCTGTGATTCTGTATTTGGGCTCGTTGGCTTTGCTGTGACTCCTTCCGAGATGCTTCTAGACTGGCCGAGGAACATTCCCTTGGGAGATACAGTGCATCCTTAAATGGGGCATCCCAAAATCCCATTGAGAGCGACACTAACCTCTTGGCAGAGGTTTTTATTCACTGAATGCATCAGGTTTGGGCAAATACCAGAGAAATGCTGGAAGCTCAGCACCAGGAGAGAAATTCAAGGAGAACAGAGGCTCATGAGAGGATTCTATAGTCTTTTTTTAAGTCTTATCGTGTCTTTCTTAGGAGCATGTGGAAAAACAACCCGTGCTGCAGCACTCCCTCCGTGCCGAGAGAAGAAAGCGACAGGAGAAAAACAAATTGGAACTTTTTTCCTTCCTTTCCTTCTACTTTTATCCCTCCCACCCCGAGGGCAAACAGCGTGAGCTGTGGTCACATCTGGGGAGTGAGGAGGACCCGTCCTGCTGCATCAGCCCCATCCCAGGGGGGACGCAGGCGTCCCCAAGCTGGGGACTTTGCTTTGTTCCCCGCAGCCCCACCCGTCTCCTCAGCCAAAAATGAGAATTTTCCATCGACTGCAAACGTCTCCTGCTCGTGGCTTAATATTAATTTGGGCATTTTGCACCCAAACTCCGAGCTACCTTGGCCAGGAATAGGGAGGGCAGCCCCGAGGTCCTGCTGCCTCTCGGGCGAGAGAGGGTGTTCCCTGTGACAATGTGGATTGTGGACAATGAAGAGGCTGCCCCGACGCTGGGAACCATTTCCCTGGGATGGCTGCAAAATAAAATGATGGGACATTTTCCAGGGCAATGCTGCAACCACCCAAAATACCGCTATAAAATTCACAGAGGCGAAGCAGAGCGACTGCATTAAGCAAGGCTTAGGGGGATTAGCGAATTAAATTGGTTGCCCCTTCCACCCTTCCCCCTGGTCGAGGACGTTAGAAATCTAAATCCAAAAAAAAAAAAAAAAGGGTGTTAAAACAACACAATGGGCTTCGCTAGAACCTATAAAAGCGAAGAAACTCATTGTTAAAGGCTGTTGCTTTATTCCGGGCTGCTATTGTGTTGAGGCACAGCGTTGATTTTTCCGAGGGTTTTCTATCGGGGAGCGGCAGAGCCCTGGGTCATCTCGGGAACCGCAGGAACTGCCGCGGCTGGAAACGCTGCCGGGATGGCTCTGCCTCCGTAATTCCCCCGGCGCAGGAGAAAACGCAACGCAGCCGCCTACAGCGCAGGAGCGATGCCTCCGCCACCAAATCCTTCTGCCTGGCTCTTCCCAAGCTCCCTCCTTTTCCCGGGGACGGCGGCGTCACCGGCATCCGGCTGGTTTCAGGGGAGAGTTTGTGCAATGAGAGCTTTGCTTTAATCTGGGCTGGATTTATCCAGATGCAGCAATCCCTGGGAAGGCTTACGCGGCTCTCCAGCCTTCTACGTGCACGTAGCCTTGATTTGTTAATCTGGAAATGGGTTTATTCAAAATTAAAAGAAAAAAAAAAAAAAAGAAAAAGGAAAAAAAAGCAGCCTTTAAAACTGCTTTGCTTTGGGTGTGCAGTGGAACAAGCGCCCGGGCTCTCGGTCGTACATACGGGCTATAGCGTCACAGGCTTTAGGTTTATATGTGGCATGTTGTGCCTGCTTTAATGGCATGAATTAGAGCCCCCCAAAAAGCATTTCCAATTTAAATATTATCATAGAATCAGAGAATATTTTAATATCTTAATTATACAATTTGTTTGAATAATATATAAATATATAAAATTAAATATGAATTCCCAATACATTTACAGAACCCTCTTCACCCGAATGACCCACAGAGGTATTTCCCTACCAGGGGATGCCTTTTTCTTTGCATCTCTCTTAACGTCATTACATCCCCTTCGTATTTAAAGTCTTTATTTAAGTACAGTTCTGGCACAGTAATAAAATCAATTCCTTAGGCTTGGAGTAAAGGGCTGAGGCAGATTGGGCAGGCGGGAGCTGAAGTTTGAAGGTATTTTGCAGCACGGTGGGAGGCTGCAAAAGGGGCTGGGGACGCTGACCGCTTGTGACAGGTCTAGCCTGGAAGAAAACCAAAACCGTAGCAGTTCGAAAGCCGAATAATATTACTATGGCAACAAAATAACTCACCTTAAAGTGCATTGGAAAGCAACCTTACATCTTCAGGGAACAGAACGAGAAAGATCTTTTTTTTTATACATTTTGGTGGGGGTTTTTTTGACTTCCTGAACTCTTGACCTATTACCAGATGTGGATGCAGATAGAAAAAAAAAAAATAATTCAATTTCTATCAGCGATGAAATGAAACTGAGTGCCACCAAATCTCCAGTGCAATGGGAAATTCCCCCAAATGATGCCACGGGTGTTGGTCTCTGACCCCCTGGATGCCTGAGCTGCCCTTTCAGGGGGTGAGGGGGGTCCCCCCTGGGCTGGGCTCCCTCGGGGAGCGGGGCTGGGGGCGAGACACCAGCCCTGAAGGAGCCAAGCGTTGCCTCTGTGGGATCTTCTACTAAAGCACATCTGAGCGTGTTCCTGGGGAGATGGTTAATGGCCTGAGGTGGCCACTGGACAATTAATGGGTAGCATGTTGTTCTGGGCTGAAATAAAACCAGACCGAGAGCAAACCCACTAATGATCCATGCAGGCCTTTTTACCTTTCTTTTCCTCCCAGGCTGGGGTAGAAGCTCCCCTTGCTTGCTAATGTGGGTAATTTTCAATTAAGATGAACTGAAAGAAATCTCTTTCTTCTTTTTTTTTTTTTTTTTCATAAATGGACACAAGAGCGTATCTGAGCACTTTCTTTGTTGTCTTTCAATTGAGAAGAAAAGAACATTTTTTGCCCATGGGGAAGGGTAATATCTCCTTCCATCTAGCAATGCTGGTCATGGATCTTTTTTTTTTCCTTTTGGCTCTTTCCCTCACCTGTTTTTTTAAGGAGGTTACGGAGCTGGTGACGGTGTCACAGCGGGAAGGGAAGGCCTCTCCTGCACAGGAATTTAGTGGGGAACTGTCTCTGATCTCTAAACCCCAAAAGGGGATGATTAAGCTCATTGCTCTCTTGGCTTCGCTGATGGAACTGCAAGAAGACACCCAGGACCAAGCTGTGGGTCCTCCCCAGGCGGCAGCGTCCCCGGCTGCCCCCACTGAAGGTTCTTCTCTGTGATGGACATCTCTGTGGTGGATGCTGCCCAGGTCCATCAGGGAGCACACCTGACCCAGCTCTGAGGGCAAGGCTGGCAGCCCAGCTCTGCCTCAGTTTTCTGGGTCTTTTCTTATTTCTTTGTTTTGTTGTTTTTTCTAAATAACCTCATGCACATTAAGGGCAGTTTTTTATAAGGAGGGAAAAGAAATCAGTGACTTACACTTCCAAAGCGTTTTATACCCATTTCTTAATAGCGTGATGCCAGCACCATTTTAATGTTTGGCATTAGCCTTAAATTGCACTTGAAATTTGGAGTTAAATCTCCTTTGTATAGTCAATAGGCTTAGTGCGGTGGTGCCAATCTGCCCGCCTGCCCCCCTCCTTATTTTTTGGGGGGGGAGATATTTTTCAGGGAAAGAAAGAACCTACTCATCTGACATAATTTACTAAGATTTCCTACTCTGGTAACTGAAATAAATCGGGCTATTAGAGCCATCATTAGGAGCAGATGTAGGCTGCTTTGGGGACAGCGAGGAGCTGCCGCTGGCTCCCTCATCTGCCATCCCATCCTTGGCCCCAGCTCTCGGTGCTGCTGCCCACGAGGTCTGTCTTTATTCTCTTTTATTAAAAAAAATCACCAACACCTCCATTAAAGACAGAAGTTAATGTGTATTCGCTACGGAGCAGGAAAACCCTATCGTTGCCGACAGCTAAAGGTTATTCTCACAGATGTGAGATCCAGAGTATTAATATCTGATGCTCAACACAATGAGCAGGGACTAATTATTGCTAAATATTTTTCATGGACATAGTGTTAATCCCTTCCGTACAGTCCCAAATGCCAATTCCCTGTCTGTTCCCTCCAGCCAGGTGTGTTTTGCCATCGTTTCCACATTAAATAGGAGCAACAGGTGAAAAATCCAGTGGTTTATCTGGGAATGCCAAACTCTCCCAGGCTCTTCTTACAGGAGTGGGACTGCAGTGGTGTAGCCACGGTGCTGCTGGTGAAATGTTCCCAAGTTTTCTCATAATCCTGGCTGTTTCTTAAACTGAAGCAAATAACTTGGATGGTGTCTGTGTCAGGGAAACTGATGCTGAGCTGGAGCAGCGCCGGCACCTCCAAACCCTGGCAGCAAACAGGAGTTGTCCTGTCGGGCCTCCCTCCTGCTTGTCGAAGGTAAAGAGCATTTATGGGGTAAAACATGAGGTCACAGGAAAGCCCAGAAACCCCTGTCCCTGCCCTGCAGCGAGCCTTGACTAATCCACTGAAAATAAAAAAAAAAAAAAAAAAAAAAAAAAGACATGAAAATTATCCAGCATTTCAGCGAGGAAGCAGAGATCTGGTGACATTTGATTTTGAGATCATGGGGACGATGCGCTGCAGGAGGGAGATGTTCTGCTGAAAAATCATGCTCATCCCCAGGGACCTGGATAACGATTCGATGGAGAGATGTACCTGGTACTCTGGCGGGTGAGGGGAGATCCAGAGCTATTTTAAGCCCAGCAAGAAGAAGGCAGCCGACATTATGCAAAAGCCAACCATTCTCTGTGTGCTGGGGACAGAGCGTCTGACTGGAAATGCATAAGTAAGTGCTGAAGGCTCCGCAGAGCCACGATTTTTCCCATTTGTTTGGCAAAGTTCAGCCCGTTCATAAAATCCAAGGAAAGCCCGGCAGGAATCGCCGTCAGACGCAGCTGTGTGAGAGAGGCTGGACTTGTAGTGTTTGCAGCGCTGAGCTGCTGCAAAAATAAATACCTTCAAAAGAATAAGGTGCTTCCTTGATGCTCTGCTGCTTCCCTCAGCTCCTCCCAGGGGAGAATACAGTTTTGGGCCCCCTACCATAAAAAAGACATTGAGGTGCTGGAGCAGGTCCAGAGAAGGGCGACAAAGATGGTGAGGGGTCTGGAGAGTAAGTCTTATGAGGAGAGGCTGAGGAGGCTGAGGGGAGACCTTATCGCTCTGTACAAGTACCTGAAAGGAGGCTGTAGAGAGACGGGGGTCGGTCTCTTCTCCCAAGTTACAGATGTCAGGACAAGGGGTAACGGCTTCAAGTTGCGCCAGGGGAAGTTCAGGTTGGATATTAGGAAACATTTCTTTACTGAAAGGGTTATCCAGCATTGGAATGGGCTGCCCAGGGAGGTGGTGGAGTCACCATCCCTGGAGGTATTTAAGAAACGTGTAGACATGGTTCTTCAGGGCATGCTCTAGTGCCCAAGATTACTGGTTTGTGGTGGGGTGCTGTGTGGGTGGGTGATGGTTTTTGGTTTGGTGTTGTGTGTTTAGGTGGTGGGTGATGGTTTGTGTTTTTTGTGGGGTTTTTTTTTTTTTGGTTTTTTGTTTTGGTTTGGTTTTTTTGTTGGTTGGACTCGATGATCTCTGAGGTCCCTTCCAACCACTACGATTCTGTGATTCTGTGATTTTTCCCTGAGTACTCTTTTGATTAGAGTGAAGGAAGAGCTTAAAATATTTTTTCATAGTACTCCGTGCGCATTTCACTCCATACATCTCACTTTGCGCGGGCTTTGCACCCTTTTCGACAGCAACAAAAATAATTTACTTCCCAATGCTTCTTTCAGAGCAACGGAAGGAAAGTGGATTGGAACAACTGAGGATATCCAGCAGAACAAAATACTCCAAACAACTGAGGAGGAGGAGGAGGACAGAAAAGGTAGGGCTGGCTGAAGTAGGTGCATTGAGTAGTGAGGTGCCGTGGCAATGCTCGGTAATGGATATGTCACGTTTTAATGTCATCGGTGCAGAGTCCAGATGCTGCCTCTCTCCTTTCCATCGGTATTTCCCTGCATTTTATTTCATTTTCTGCAGGCTGTGCCCATGGGGAGAGCAGGAACTGGTGAGGTTTCCCCATTCCCCAGCAGCAAACCAGGGCAGAGCCAGCCGGTGGGGATTCCCAGCACTGATGTGGGGCTGGATCCGGATCGGGGTCTCTCCGGCCCCCGGGGCAGCCCCGCTCCCGCTCGCTGGCCCCTGCAAGCGCCCGCCGAGGAAAAGTAATCACTTGCCTTACCTCCGGGTTTAATTACTCTCTGCTCCAGAGCTAATTAGGAGCGCGGTCCGTCCGGAGGTCGGGGACGGAGCCCTCCCTCCCGCTTCGTGCCATCTGCCATTGCCATGACACTGGCTTTGCTGTTCACGCCTGGCTGGGCGCGCTGGATGCGCGGGGTAATGGGGCTATTTCCCCCCCCCTCCCTCCCCTTAAGAAAAAAAAATTAAAAAAAAAAAAAAAAAAAAAAGAATGGTTCAAACTGCTGCACGCCACCCTTCTCCTTTCCGCTTTTTCAGCCTTTTAGCGTGCAGTTTTCCAGCAATTGGAAGGAAAATTGCCCTGAAAGAAAGAAACAAAAAAATCTGTCTTATTTTTTAAACAAAACCCCCCGCGCCACACAAGCAGCTGCAGAGAATTTCTCTTCCAAACAGATGATGTCATGGGCTTTGTCAGCCAATGCTGTAATGAATAAAAACCTAGACCCTAAAATTTTCATCCAAGCTTTTGATGAAACTCCTCAGGTTCCCGGTGCAGGCGATCACCAAAAGGAGCTGGAGCGAGTGGTTTTGTCATGCAGATCTGGACTGAAGGAGCTGGAACTGGGGTGATAACCAAAACCAGTAACTGGCCTTGGGGCAGGAGATGGGAGGGGAGTGCCAGGGGAGATGCCGACGCAGCAGTGGCTGCGGGGGCACCTGGGGGTACCCAAAAAAGGGGGGGGGCACAGCCTCTGGGGGCAGCTGGGTGCTGGGACATCCAACAGGGCTTTCAGCATCCACCATGGAGCCACTCCTGGTTTAAAAAATGTGACATACAGCCACATTTTTTAATATACATATATGTATATTTAATATATTATGGAAAAAATTACTCTCTATATATTTTCTACAAATATAGATGAAGACTATCAATAAAATATTGTAAATAGCACCCATTGCTGCTGTACCGATGGGCACATCGTTGCTCTGCCCGGGACATCCCGGGATGCTGGGGTCAGGAGACTGGGCAGCTGGCACGGGATGTCCCGGCTCAGCTGGGGTCCCACCCGTGGGGCACCAGGGCAGTGCCCAGTGAGTCACCGTGGGACAGGAGGGACAGGGCTGGGGATGAGAACCAGGGCTGGGAGAACCACACGGCTGGGGGGGTAGAATTTGCTGTTCCCACAGCACAGATGTTCCTGATGCCCCAAGCAGCCCCTTGATGTTCCCAAGCAGGGAACACAGAAACATGACACTCTGCGACATAGAATCACAGAATCACAGAATCGTAGTGGTTGGAAGGGACCTCAGAGATCATCGAGTCCAACCACCAAAAAAAAAAAAAAAACCAAACCAAAAAAAACCATGGGAGGAGAAATGGAAAAGGGGATTTATTTATTCGCCCCCTACCATAAAAAAGACATTGAGGTGCTGGAGCGGGTCCAGAGAAGGGCGACAAAGATGGTGAGGGGTCTGGAGAATAAGTCTTATGAGGAGAGGCTGAGGGAGCTGGGGTTATTCAGCCTGGAGAAGAGGAGGCTGAGGGGAGACCTTATTGCTCTCTCCAACTCCCTGAAAGGAGGGTGTAGAGAGATAGGGGTCGGTCTCTTTTCTCAAGTCACAGGCGACAGGACAAGAGGAAATGGCCTCAAGTTGCGCCAGGGGAGGTTCAGGCTGGATATTAGGAAAAATTTTTTCACTGAAAGGGTTCTCAGCCCTTGGAATGGGCTGCCCAGGGAGGGGGTTGAGGCCCCATCCCTGGAGGTGTTCAAAAGACGGGTTGATGTAGTGCTGGGAGGGATGGTTTAGTGATGATGCTCCTTGTTTGTTGTGTGGGGGTCTATTTTTGTCAGTTAGGTTGACGGTTGGACAAGATGATCTTTAAGGTCCCTTCCAACCTAGAAGATTCTGTGATTCTGTGATATTTTATTTTTCCCCAAAAAAAAAGTTCAATGGAAAATTGGTGAGTGCTGAAGTCAGCTAGCCCCTGGGACGAGGTGTGGGCACAGCATGGCCCCTCCAGACCCCCCGGAACAGGAGCAGCCGGGGGCAGCTCCCAATTTGTGCAGTGTCCAGGCACTTTTCTTAGATTAAAACCAGGGCTGATAGCACTGAAGCACGTCCATAAAGTAATTTTAAGTTATGGCTGGAGCTTTCCATGGATAAAAGGCGAAGCGTTGCCGATCCACAAGACACCAGGGGGTCTGTGACCCACGCGCGGCTCTCTGAGGACATGGCTCCATCCCTACCACAAACCCTGCTGCAAAGCCAGGGCTGCTGGAAAGGAGATGAATTGGCCCCGTGGATTACAACCACTCACTCTAACCAACACGTGCACTAATTGGGGACCTTTTACAGCGCATATTCTTCATCTGATGTCCGGCGATGGCTCGAAACCAACTCACACTGCTGGCCCTCCAAAAATGTGCGTTTGGATCGTTTTGGAGATCGGGCGTAACCTACTCCATGGGCTGTAAAACATCCACAGAGCAATTACCATCCACTCCATAAAATATATTTGGCTTTAGAAAATGTGCCCGTGAGATGCCTTCATAGCCCCGTTTTAATTGATGGCTTGGCATGGCCATCGTGGGCATGGCCAACGCCAACGTCCCCAGGTGCCACCAACCTCTGCACAGACGGGGGGGCCCCTTCTGCAAACACCAAGCAAAGCATCTTCCAGTCGTCGGCACGTGTCCCCCCAACACCCTTAAACCCGTTGTTTCTGCACCATGTTTCTACACCATGTTTCTGCACCATGTTTCTACACCATGTTTCTACACCATGTTTCTACACCCAGCTGGTCGAGAGCGCAGCGGCGGTGGGACCCGGCTCGGGGTGGCCCGGCACCGTCAGGACGCCATCTGCCCCGAATCCACCGCCGGGCTCGCAGCTGCAGCCGAGAGAGAGAGACAGTTATGAAAGAAAGCTGGTTGTTTTGTTTCGGTCGCTCGTCGCTCACAGCACCAGGACTCCCCGTGCTCCCGGCTCTGGGTTTCATTAGGCTGCTCTTGCAGGACCTTGTTCTCGTGGCATTTCAGCACAGATCATTTCCAGCCCGCTTTGCGTAACGTCAGGCTCTTCTCAGTGGAAGAAAACCCATTCCTTACAGCTTGGAATGCTCGGAGACCAGAGGGTGTATCTATCTCAGATCATGGAGCCGAGCGCCCTCGTACCTGTGTGTGTCCCAGCTGCTCACTGGGGATATGAAAATAGAGGCTCCTTCTCTGGAAAACGGGACAAAGTTGGCTCCCAAGATCAAAGGTCAGCAAGTTGCCACCTGTGGGTCATTTAAGGCCAAGTAAGGGATCTTTAAAATAACTCTCTAATGAAAGATGAGCAATATCTTCTGCTTTCAATGATTCCAACCTTGTTTTCGTGTCAGACGGAGGAGTTTCCCATGACACGTGAGGCAGCAGAGCTGGACGGTCAAGAGACCTTTCTACAACATCCTTTTTTCTTATGTTTTTCTCTTTCAGCTCCTGTACAGGTCGTTCTCTCTTATTAAAACAGTTTCTTTTATGTAAATTCTAGAAGAGAAATGTGAGGTATACTAAATAAATATAAATCAGTGAGTGCTGTAACAGCTGTGTTACAATGAACTGGTCCACAGCCCTGCGGCCAGAGCCCCAGGGATGGCAGAGGGTATGGTCCTACCAAAGCTGAACCAGCCAGGTGAAGGTCTGCGGGGCAGGACCAAGGTCCCGCTGTTGGTTCCAGCTGCCCATTGACTGAGAAACTCGATGAAGAAATTAAAAGACATCTATTTATGAGGCCTGGACCATATGAGAGGTTGTAGATTTCAATCCAAAAAGGCAGCAGAGCTGAACCTCCACCCTTGAAGCAGAACGGGTAGATCTAGGGTGACACTGCGTGATGCTGCCTAGATTTCAACTTATAGCAAGTTATAGGTGCTGTTTTCCACCTGCTTTAGGAGGTAAACCTCTGGAAGAAGAGCAGGCACCAGGAGGCACCAGGAAGGCTTTGCTATGCTTGAAGTTTGGTATCCCCCATGGATGACCCTGCTGTCTCACTGGTCAATGGGCCTGGTTTTCCATAGTTCTCATCACGAATAGTAACTATCAATCACCATTTCTCCAGCACATTAAATTTATACAAAGATGTAGAGAATGAAATCCTCACCTTATGCATCCTGATGGAGAAACTTCTGTTGACTGCAACACACCAGTGACCTCATCTTCGTATCCACCTGGATTTCTACAAACTGCTGTTTCTTTTCCTCCAAGGAAAACCAGGATGTGCAAAGTGAAACAAGAGGACTTGCTTCTTATCCACCAGAGGATGGGCACAAGCCACCAGCCCCGTCATCGGGCCAGCAGGAAGGTGTGGGCATCCCACCAGGTATCCAATACTCAGCACCCACAGCTTCTACTGCATCCCGAGGGAAAGCAAGCTGGTTGCCCCAAACTCGGCCTCTGGTCCCTGACGGTGGGGACTGGAGGATGGGGACATGCGGACCCCAAATTTCCACACCAAAGAGGCTACAGGGCAGGAAAGGAGGAGTGCCTGTCACCCCAGAGGAGCTGGGCTATGAACTCCTGCTCAGAGTGCTGTCTTCCCCCCCACCAACCAGCTGATGAACCTCAAACTCTCAGGGTCCTCCCTGATGATCAAGTTTTCTTGCAGTGCTGTTCCACTGGAATACTCAGACATGACCACCACCTAGAGGCTAGAGCACTAAATGAAGCTGGAGAGCTTTACAGTCAAAATGGGCCAAAAAGCAGGTTGGAAATATTTCATGAGCCCAAATAGAGCACCAACGAGAGCTGGGTATCCGGACTACCTTCCTCCAAGCCAGTGGTGGCCCTCACCTCAACGTCAGCCTACGCAACAGCGGCCAACGGCAGGGCCCAGCAGACCCCCCACCCTGGAGGGATGCGTTTAGGGAGGGAGCTTGCAAAGCACAGAAGAATGGTGGGTCCTTCTCCTCTTGTGCTCCTTCCCCTGCACAAGGGGCTCAAGGAGGAGCCCGTGATGCCATTCCAATGGAGAATGGCTCCTGGGCACATGCTTGCATGGGGGGGTGGACACACAGCCTGCAGTCCTTGGCCTCGGCTGCTGAGAAACCAAGGTCCAGCGGGACGGGGCTCGGCAGGGACACGGTAGCTTAAGTCACCGCTCTGCTTCTGTCCCCACCAACAGCCAGA